TAGTTTAAATATTACCTTCAATCTTATTTTCTTCTTTTTTAATATATTTTAATGTTAACAACTTCTTTTTTATTTATTTTTATTTTTTAAGGTTCCACAACAAAAGCTAAATATACATTCATTCTTATTTATTTTATTTGGTTCAACAACAAAATCAAATACACATTATTATAATTAATTAATTAAAAAGTTTGTTTATAAATAATCAAAATATAATTTTGAGACAATCAAAAAGTTTGTTTGAGGAAAGTGTTATAAGACTCATATTAAATTGCATTTAGGGCATAAACAAGGAATTGTTTGTTAATCTCTTAGCCACGAGCATTTTAGACATTAAGCCATATTTCTCTTAGCAAATTTGAACCATTCATTTTAATTTATCCAAAATTCTAATTATACCTTTTTAACAAATCTGAACCACTCATTTTAAGATATCTATGCATTACCACACCCAATCCATCCTCCATCTTCTTCCTTAGTCCCCCACGAATTGTTTGTGTTTGTTACTTTTGAAAAAACAAAAAATGTTTTTTTCAATTAAAATTTTACTAATTTCACAACACCATCACCACTATTCTTACTTTCACTATCACACTACCATCACCATAGCCACTACCATCATCACTTGCCGCCATCACCCCACCACTATGTAACCAATCTCTACTTTCACCTTCGTTTCCATCATCACCACCACCAAATATAAAAAAATATATTTTTAATTTTTTTATTAAAAAATATTTTTCATTAAAAAAATATTTCCTATCTAAATAAATGAAGCATAACATTGGGAAACAAGCTGATTTCAGTTAAATCTGTTCATAACTAAGAAAAATTCTTTTAATTTTAAAAAAATTATTTAGTAAGACTTTGTATCCCCTTTTTGTTTTTTCTAGCAAATAAATCTTTGTACCCATCATTTCTAACCAATCACGACTCATACTTGTTTTTGATTCTCTACAATTTTCTTATTTTCAAATGCATTCATATATAATATTATATTATATTATGTTGTATAAATGTGTGTGATAACATAAACAAATAGATTCATACTCGTTAATTGAAATTTCAGAACAAGCAAACCATTTCTGAAAATTACAATACACAACAAAATAAAATACATAGAAAAGCAAATCGAAAACCTATACTAGACAGTGTCCTTAATTTTTTTAAATAAATTTTAAAAAATTCTAGATATGCATAAAATTTTGACAAGAATAATGTGACAATGTTAATTAATGTGTATTTGATTTTTATTGTTGAGCCAAATAAAAATAAAATAAGATTGAATGTATAGCTTTGTTTGTGATCTTAAAAAAAAAAAAAATTGGTTGTGAACCTTAAAAAAAGAAAAAGAAAAAGAGATTAAATGTATATTTAGCTTTGGTTGTGAATCTTAAAAAAATAAAAAAATAAAAAAATAAAAAATGGTTGTGAACCTTAAAAAAAAAAAATTAAAAAAAAGAAAAAGAAAAAGAAAAAAGATTAAATGGATATTTAGCTTTTGTTGTGAATCTTAAAAATTAAAAAAAAAATGGTTGTGAACCTTAAAAATAAAAAAATAAAAAAAAGATTGGAGGTATATTTAGTTTTGGTTGTGGATCTTAAAAAAAAAATGGTTGTGAACCTGAAAAAATAAATAAATAAAAAAAAGGAAAAAGATTGAATGTATATTTAGTTTTGGTTGTGAATCTTTAAAAATATATATATATAGGAGAAAACCTACCCATATATATATATATATGGGGAAATTAGTGGATACCCATCCCCTGTGGATATTTAAAGAACATCACTTACCCTACCCAATGGACAAGAAAAATAGGAGAAAACCCATGTATTTGGATTGGGTCTCCATGAATACCCACAGAATAGGTTATCCATTGTCATCCCTAACAAACACCCTCTATTTCTTTTCTTTTCTTTTTATTTGTTATTTTTAAATTTTTATGAGGAACCTTCTCAAGTTAGGGTTTCCGGCGATGAGATAAGGCCACTAGAGCAGCCGTCGCCTTGGATCCTAAATACTTGGAGCTCCCAACTAATTTTAAGAATTATAGTATTAATAGACTAAGGCCTCGTTTGGGAATAGGTTATTTTAGTAATTTTTTAATTTTTTGGCTAAAATATAAGATAAAAAAAACTAGTATGTTTGGGGTGACTTTTTGACTTTTTATGAAAAGATGTACAAAAAGTAGAGAGAAAAATGAATCTTTGATTTTTTGGTATATGTTATAGGTTTTTTGATTTTTTTAGTAACTTTTTGACTTTTAGGCTAAAACAGCTACTTGCCAAACGAGGCCTAAGCTTGGTCTAATTAATCTAAATTTACAATTTAAATTAAAGAGTTGTTTCAAATTACAAGCAATATTATTAATTATGTGTCTAAAATGCAAAAAGAGTAATATTTAATTGATATTTTATTATAATAAGGCCTCGTTTGTAAATTTAGTCATTTTAGTTGGCCTTTTAGGTATCATATGATGCAAAAAATTAGTGTTTGGAATGATTTGTGAATTTTTTTTTTATAGTTGAATAGTTGGTTGTGAGACAAAAATTAATTAATTGATATGTAGGATGTGATATTTTTTCTTATTGGCTATTTTAATATATATATATTTTTATCTTTATTGATTATTTTAACATCAACCCTTTGTGGATGCCATGCCTTTTTCGGATATTTTCCATCCAAATGTTGTGCCAACTAGCTTTAACCAACATAGAATCGCCACTAAATTTTTAATGGAAAATTAAGAAACCTTTAACAATGAAAGCTAAGCTAGCGACCTGATTCATCATAACCAACAATTGCAGGTTCAGGAGTTAAGGTACAAAAGAGGAAGCTCATTGACTGAAAGCACCCATGTTGCTCAATTCGAATATTGGCCTCTACTAATTCTCTATTTTATGATTTTAGTGGTTAATTATTCATACAAGTCATTTTAAGCCTAAAAACCTTTAACTAACCTAAAATTATGTGATTTGAATAAAAATGAATATCATTTATTTTAGATTAACAGAATAAAGTCATATTTTTCTGAAAACAATGACTTTTTAATAAAAGTGGGCCATTCTTAGAATAAGCAATATTCATAAAAGCATCCAAAATAAACAATTTTGTATAGAAAAACGATTAAGTTGGATTATTGGAAAGATAATGCATCCATGAACACACATATGTTATGAGAATTAAGAGGACTTGTCGAATGCCCACTTTCAACAATACATAAATATATGAACTTAATGTACAACTACACATGCAAATAATGACCCTAAGCCCAATTTGAGGCTACTAATATGATGCTTATGCACAAAAGGAGCAGATAACAAATAAAAAGTGAAAATATGCTAACATTACATAATATCAAATTGGGATTATGCATGCTTATTACATGATTAACTAGAACCTAGAAACATGTTTAATAAGAGATAAAGAGAACGTATAAGCATAAGTGAAAAAGCTAACAAAAACTAATAACTTACATGATGAGGTGATAAACTAACACTTTAACATGGATGGAAACTAAAAAATAGAGAAAAGAAGTATTGAAATACAGAAGGTAAAGGTGTTGTACTTGCTGGTTTGCTTAAATCGTAGATATGCGGAGAAAAGAGTAAGAAAACCAAAGTTTTCTTGCTTCTAAGTCGCCCTCAAGCAAGGGTTCTGAGTTAGGGTCCAAGTTGTTCAGTTCTTAGAATATTTTTAAGTGTTTTTAGTTGTTGTAGATGGGGGAATTTTGGAGCTGAGGCAAGAGGAGGGAAGGAAAGGGTGATTTTGCTCTCAAACTCACCAAAATCACTCAAGTTGCTAACCCCTTGAAAGGGGAGGTCCTTTTTATAAGTAGAGGGGAGGCTTTTGGAGCATCTAGGGCTTCCCATCGCTTCTCCTCACTACTTCCCTCCAGAAATGCACTAAGATTGAGTTTCCAAAACAAGTTCTGTCACGTTTGGATGTGCACACGCACAATTCACATGTGTGTACACCACTCTGCTTGGTACATGTGTCATCCATGCTTGTAGAAGTGCGTGGTCCAATGCCCTTGACTTGCTTGTGGACCAAGTAAGCCCGAATTGCCTTCCGATCGATGTTTTTAATATAACTAGCTACTAATTTGAAAAATGTCTTTGATCAAAGCGCAACCGGGTTTCCCTCTCTTTCTCGGGGCTTGAAAGTTGGTTTTTTAGCTAAAAATCGGTTCAAGGATAGAATGATCATTTTTGCAAAAAGTTAATTTGTCACCAAAATAGGCTTAAAAGTAACTCCAAACAATCTCAAACATTTTAAAAATGAAATAATTACGGTTTTATTATCGGGAGGCTTGCAAGCGCCTGAAATCTTAGGATCAATCAAAATAAAGTGTCTACACCCTTGTTCCCAAATGAGGCCTAAGTCAATTTTTATTGGGTATCATAACTTCATATTTATTGAGAAATTAAATCTGTGATCACAGTAGTTTTTCTCGTGTCAATTTGGTCCACTTAGTTTTAATTATATCAATTTTATCTTTGAATTTTTTACATTGTGTCAAATTAGTTCAATTGACGACATCCGTTTAAAAATTTGAAAGAAATCAAAGACAAAATATAGTCCATTTAAAAGGATATTAATCATTTTAAATTTGAAGCCAACACCTCAATTACTTTAACAGAGAATAAATGGACTATTTTTTACCTTCATTTTAGTCTAACTTCAAAAAATTTGACTAGTTTGACAATGTAAAAAATTCAAGGGTAAAATCATATACTTATAGAACTACAATGATGATCAAATTGATGCAAGACGAAAAATATAGTCACTATAAGTGTACGTTGCCTTATTTTATTTTATTTGCTTTTCTCTTTTGGTTTAGGTGAGGTGTTTTTTTGTTATAAATTTCTAAATAAATCAACAACATATAATATACATATTCTGAACTCTTGAAATGATATTTTGGTGTGTTGATCCATGTAAGGCAAACTTTACAAGTTGCACCCCCACAAACACAAAAGAGCAAGAAGAAAAAGCATAGGAAGCAGAGAATTAATAAACAAGGCTTCTTTTATTGCAATGCGATGGAAAACGATCCAAATAAATAAATAAAACAAAGAGAAGTAGCATCAAAATAAATTCACTACCCAAATTGTCTTATTCATTTCTCCTTTCGGCCATTTTTCCCCCCTTTTCTTTTGCCTTCCCTTTTTGATAGCTTAATTGAAGTACATGGCAAAGAATGATAGAACTGAGGCTCCAACCAAAGAACCAATAATAGGGAAGGTAGCGGCAGAATCGCTGGTTGGTGCAGGTGCGGGAGATGAAACCTCAGCGAAGACCGCGCTCATGGAGGCGGCAGAAATGAGGACGGCACAGGCGATCTTCTTCATTTCCATGATGAATTTGGGAGGGAGAAGTGAGAGAATTCACTGAAACCCACCTTGGAGATGAAGAAAGATGCAATTCAGTTAATGCAGACCTGAAGGAGAATGGAGATGGAGGAGAGAGTTTTATACTGAGAATTGAAGGCTATTTTTAGACTAAAATGCAGCTATTAGGTTAAAAGGAGCTCATCGTTTTGGGGGGTGAAAGGTGTAGATCAAGTTGTGCAATGTTTTACGTGTATGGTTTTGCATGGTGTTAGGTGTTGGCGATCCATACGTGGGGGAATTCCTACGAATTTAAGGCCAAACGTCCCTCAATATTTTCTGGAGCATATTTTTGTTCAAACTGTTTGACAAGGTCAAAGCCTAAGCCTTAGCCTAACATTCGGAGAACCATAGGATATATATGAAAAGTTTAAAAATTCAAAAAAATAAATAAATCAATTAAGTGTTCGTTTATCACTCAATGAATTTAATCGGCACAATTATTCTTAATAAATTACAAATGAGTGGGATTTGAGGTTAAATATTGCAAATTCACATGAAATTTTACAAATTACACTAACAGTGGGAAATTGAGAAACATTTACATAACCACCCCCCTCCCTATCTCATCAATTGGCTTTGGCCTCTGCTCCAGTTGAAGTTGAAGATCTAGTTCTTCTGACTTTGAATGGCTTACCAGAAGAATATGACTCTTTCAAAACCTTTATTCAAACTAGTTTTAAAGCAATTTTGATGGAAAATCCGTGCTCTTTTTTATGTTATGAGTCCATTCATATTAAAAGTAAACTCAAACATTCCACTGGACATGATCTTCATGTGGCCTATAGTGCATCTACTAAAGGATCTCATTCGTCTTCAATTAATGGTTCTGAGTCTCACAATATTTCTAATGTAGGATCACATTGTGGTTTTCCATCTAATTCGAGAGGCTGCTCTCAATACAAAGGTTCCAGAGGTGGTAGGTTTACCAATTATTGAGGAGGT